GGTCGACTCTGAGGATCCCCCCTTGCGCTGTGTTTCGGCTTCGGCCCCCGGCTCTCGCGGCCCACAGTGTAATCTAAGTCATACATACATACATACATACATACATACATACATACATACATACATACATACATACATACATACATACATACATACATACATACATACATACATACATACATACATACATACATACATACATACATACATACATACATACATACATACATACATACATACATACATACATACATACATACATACATACATACATACATACATACATACATACATACATACATACATACATACATACATACATACATACATACATACATACATACATACATACATGCATGCATGCATACATACATACATACATGGACAAACTCGTATGCCGTACATATGAGCAGGCTGGTATGCCGTATATTTCCCGTACGTGTGCCGGAATGTGTTGTTTTATATGTGTTTACCTCCTTTGACGCGAGGGCCAGGAACAGGACGCACGCAGCCCCCCAGTGGTCGACTTCATTTCACACCACTGCTAGAGAATTCCACATGTACACACACACACACACAGAGGGGGGGAGTTGAGTAACTTGGTCTTTTTTTTTGCATTATCTCAACGCCAGAACTAACTCTGTATCCATCCATGTCTCCGTCTGTGTGACATGTCGCTGCCCTCCTCGGCCCTGGTTGTGCATTCCGCGCGGTGGTGGCGCCGCCGCGCGGCAGAGGCGCTGTTGGAACGGGGCTGGGCGGGCGACGCCGCACTGGCACTTCGGGACTGCGACACGGCCACGTCACTGGACGAGAGCTACAGCCGGGCCTTCCTGGGTCGCATCCAGGCGCTGCAAGTGCTACAGCAATACCAGGTATGGTGTGTGCGGGGGGGTGGTTAAGGGGGAGGGAGGGAGGGAGGTGTGGACCACTACCACTACCCCTACCATGACCTTCATAACCACTGCCACTGCCACTGCCACTGCCACTGCCACTGCCACTGCCACTGCCACTGCCACTGCCACTGCCACTGCCACTGCCACTGCCACTGCCACTGCCACTGCCACTGCCACTGCCACTGCCACTGCCACTGCCACTGCCACTGCCACTGCCACTGCCACTGCCACTGCCACTGCCACTGCCACTGCCACTGCCACTGCCACTGCCACTACCCGTCCGGTCCCACTGCATCCCTCAGTGCGCTCTGGCGGTGGTGGACGAGTACCGCCGTCTGTTCCCCCTAGCCCCGCACCAGAACAAGCTCTCCCACCTGACGAAGCAGCTCAGGTCGGCCGTGGAGGAGCGCAGGAAGTGGTTCCTGGCGCGGAGGCAGCAGCAGCAGCGACGGAGGAGGCAGCGGGCGGCGGCGAGGGTGAGAGGGGTGTACGGGAGGTACTTGGTGTACGGGATGATATATGTGTAAGGGGATGATGATGCGGAGCGTGAATGGGGGTTGGGGAGGGTGGTTACGTTTCTTTTTAAGGGCGCAGCCGTTAGGGGGCGGACTGGCGACTGGAGGTCGGCCGTACTAGGTGGTGCTGGGGGTGGTGCTACATGGTGAGGGAGGGTGCCCCCGGGGGTTTATCGTGGAAAGAATGTGGAAGGTTTCCCCCTCCTCCTTTTTTGATACACTCTTGCCCTGGCAGCAACCGTTCGTGGTTCGTCTTTCCCCCTCCCCCCTCCCCCTT